TTTCACATACTCGTAGACGTAAATGATATAAATAATTACGACTTTGACAAAGCGCAGTAAAATGAGCATACTCTGGGTGGTTACTGGTTAGCACCACGGCTACTAGTACAGCAGGTCTCGATATTTCATAACTATAACAAGCGTAATATAGCTGCGCACACATCTATCGCATACTCTGTCATTAAATTTTACGGTAAAGATAAACAGATAAGTATAACAGAAATAGATGATATTTTTACCATACATTATGTTTCTTTTGAAATACGTAATATATTATTGATTACAAAATAATTTTTGTATTTTTATAAATAACATTTTTATTCCAAAGTATGTCTGGAAATTGGCCACTGTTAAATTACAGTGACCCACTTGACACTGTAGAGTGTAGGATAGCAAAATAGCACTCACTTGCCCATATTTTTTAGACTAGGAACTGGTAATAGAATTGTATTAATATTAGCATAATTAAATATTTTAATTTTAATTTTATTTGTTGTTTATGATTAAAAAATATATTACAACTTGGGAAGCAAAACCAAAAACCAATGCTTTAAACCAAAACTACTCCTCAAAAACTACTTCTATCAGATGCTAGTGCAAATGAAAATCAATCCTAAAACCTCTAACCGTTATCAAAAATTTATCTAACTTAATACCTCAAGTAAATACTTTTATCTTTATTCTTTGTAATTAGATCTAAAACGATATTAGCATATGATACGCTGACCCATTTTAAATTTAATTAATAAAAAAAAATAATGTAATATTAAAAATTAGTAATTAATGGTAATTGGTAAAAATGTATATAAATGTACGATATTTTTGTATTGAATGTATCACTTTGAATAATTATTTAAAATTTCTTAGAACGCAATGTATCTACTCTGCAAATTGTTAAGATATTAATATAGTATGTGGAAATGTGTAGATAATTTAAAAAAATGCAATATATGGCACCGATAAATCGGTCTTAGATATTATATGACATTTTACTTTCATATGTCTACCACAATTTTAGCTAATTAGGTATTAAAAATAAATTAAGGTTTGGTAAATTTAACTAAAATTTTATAGTAATAAATTTGTATTCTTAATTTTTCGGTTGTACTATATATTAATGAAAATTAAATTGTTGATTCAACTAAATAATAATAATTTAAACATTTTAAACTAAGTTAACTATTTTGATGTTGCAATTTAATGTATTTGGTACGTTGCTAACTAATAGAAATTTATTTTTTATGTCATATGTGACTATATTTTACAGTTGATTTAATTTATGTTTTATTGCACACCACCTGTACGTTAAACATTTAGTGTAAAGCATAGTTAATATAAATATTTATTTCAGTTAATTTATTAAGTTTATCGGTGATAGAGCACAATGCGCGTTTAAACAGCGTTTCACTATGCCACTCGATTAAATTCAGAACGACTTGTATAATCTGCCTAACTCCGCCTTTCACTGATCCGCCAGCAGTTATCAGCTAGTAACCAATCGTGTATTTTAGTTCGTGTTATGAAACGAACTTACATAAAAATGTGTTAGCAAATATTTTCATGTGAAAAACTAAATTAATTATTTTTTATTCACTAATTAAATGTATAAAGACTTAAAACAACATAAAATATGATTTGTAAGAATCCTGGAGAGGGTCCATTCAACTCAAACTAAGAATATGGTACTGGATATTTTAAATGTAAAATTTTCATTTTCCATTAAAATCTGCTGCCTATCTATAACTTCTTACATATTTTACAATTTCTTCTTTACAATATATATATATATATTGTCAAACCATTAATAATTTAAATTATTATTGGTTAAATTTTATTATTGTATAAGTATTTAAATTATTTAATACTAGATCCGAGATCGGTAGATTTATATTTTTAACTTTAGTATTACATATGTATATTCAAAAAACTATCATTAAACTAAAAATGGAGTGAAAGTGATACATCAAAAATAAAATGTAATAAGAGATCATGCTAATGGCATGCGTGTTAATATCAACATTTGTTAGGTTTTCTAAGAGAAATATGAGACAATTATCTTATTTATCGGATGAGCTCATATTATAGTAATTGAATATTGTGAACTTATATTGGTATGTTTTAGTATACTTTATTAATAGTTACATAATATATAGATTAACTATTCATTTTATTAGAATTTTGTCAAGTAGGTTAGGTAATGCTTAAATAGTATTTCTCTTTCTCTTCCTATAATATATATACATTTTAGTGATAGGTCGAATCCTAATTTTTGAAATCGAATCAAACTTTAAAATATTTTTTTCGAACTCAAACTGAATGGAACCTTTATACCTATTTTTATATCGTAGGTATCGAATCATACATAGAAACATTTTTAGTCGAACTCAAAATCAATATTTTTTATCATAAAATTAAATTAACCATAATTACAATTAATTTTGAGTTTTACATTTTAAGCCTAAGTAATTGTATTTACAATAAATTTAAATAATCTTTTAATTTTTTTATATTGGTACACAATAAATAATAATTAATATTTAATAATTGAAAACAGTAAAAAATATCAAATGTTTATATACTGAAAAAAAGATTCAAAATGTTTTGAAAATTATACCACATCTAAAAATTTTCTTGGTAATATAAATATAAATTTTTTTCATTTTCTGAATTATTAAGAAAATTTCGAACAATATTTAACTCTCTAAAGTACCAATTAGATCCAACGATTTGCTATCAATAATTACCCTCAAAGTTGATTATTAAAGTATTTTTTTACTCATAAAAGTGTTTTTAAATACAAAATAAACATTTAAATTCAATACTTAATACAAATAATCCAAGATATTAAATAATCGAAACACTGTTTAGAGTAGTATACCTAGTAAACAGTTGTAACTTATAGACTTTATAGTTAGTGACGGTTGTATAATAAAAATTGAGATATTTTTTTTAAATAATAAATTATCAGAAATTAAAACTAAGCCATAGCTATTTATCAAAAGAATTCATGTCATAATATTATAGAACAAATACAATGATTATAATACTATAATAATTAATAGCTGTTGATAACAATTTATCTACAAATAATTAAATATTTTTTATTTGCGTGTAATAGTTTAAATGTTTGTTCAAGTCTCAATAACAAATATTTTCTATGTTTTTTTTTTATTTAAAAAATAATGAATCGCTATTGTCATCACTTCTAAACCATCATAATCCATATAATTTAGTATTAAAAATGTTAACAAAATTCAAAGGTACCTATATCATAAACCCGTATTTATTTGCAGTATGCATTGGTTCAAAATATTGAGGCTTGATGCAGTAATAAATTATAATTATATTATATAAATTATTATGTATTTACATCGTACTTAATACTTGTACAACGACACCTATATATTTTTCCCCTTTTAAAAATATTAAATTATAGTTTATACCTACTTAAAAAGTATATGTAAACTAATAACTATAGTCATAATTTATATAGTTTTATACTTATGATTAATTAAATTTACATTAAATTTATAAATTCATTCAACAATTTAGTTGGAACTTTTTTTATAATAATATTCACTATAGTGTGGTAGTACATACAATAATTTAAAACTTATAAATATGACTGAAATGCATTTATTATTTATACAATTATTATCATTTTAAGATTACAATGGTTAAATTAAAAATAATTTTTACGATAGAAGGTGTCATAAATAATTTAGTAGTTATATTCATAAAACATAATATATAGTAATATTTATCATTGCAGCGTATCTTTAGGTACTATTCGTTGGTATTTGGAGTAATATTTCTATGGCAAGAGACACGTAGCTAGATTAAATTTTATTAATTAAACAATAATTTAATTACGGGTTTAGTTTCTTATAAGTTCGATAAGTTAATCAATTTTGGATACTGAGTGAATCAATAAACATGTTGATATTTTATAATGAGGATTCTTTTTTGTTTACATGATTTATTTTTTTCTAATAAAAAAAGAATATAGTTTATATTAATAAGAGATTAAAACTTAAAATTTACAGTAATTTTCTTAATTGAAAAAAAAAAATATGGGAAAACAAGAACTCTTATTAAAAACCAATTTTCAGCATAATCGATTTTTTTAGTTTGTTGCAATTAAAAAAACAAATAACCATAGATACTTGTTATTTTTATCAATTATTTATACTTGAATCTTACCACAGTAGGTAAAAAAAAATATAAAAATTAGTAATTATAAATTATAAAAATTAATTTATTTTGTGAATTTTACAATTTATTTTAGTTTTATTTTAATACTTGTTGCTAAAAATTGTTGTCAAAAAGCTTAAAATACGCAATTTTTCATTCATTTTTATTGCTGGAATTTTAAGAAAAAACTGTACTGCAACTGCTGATGTTAAAAATGTCGTTATAGTACCTAAGATTAGATACGCTTAAAATCGTTAAGATTTAAATGAGGTAATTTTTCAAATTTGAAACACTGCTGGTTGGGTCCGTGCTCAGGGTTAACTTGTCACCTGTTACTTTCGTATTTCTACCTTCGTTATTCGCTGAATTTAAAACTGTTCCTCGTTGTTGTTAAAAATTGACTTTTATCATAATCACGAAATCAGTTTATACAGAACAGCTCAGGCAGCTACAGTAGAGAGAGGGAACGCCGTTGATTTTATATGTGGTCGACCGTGTTATTGTTAAGTCTCAACTCTCCAGAATGATTTTTTGTCCATATGATAATTATTATTAATTGTTCGGTTGGTCTACGCAATAGATAGGTCATTTTTTAGATTCCATTCACTTAGCAAACGTTTTGAGTATGATGTGATACCCTAAAGTAGGTACAGTGTTATGGCTATAAAGACTAAAGGCTATATATATATATATGTTATATACCATTGGTACTTATTTGTGATTAGCTAACAGACTGCGGTTTTCGGAACTTTCTGGCAAATAACAACTAAAAATAAAAAAAAAAAAAAAATAGAGTAGGTACTCACATAGTAGCATAAAGTCGGATAGTATTGCTTTGACGTATATATTTGTATAGGTGTCTAGAATACAATTTTTTCTTCGTGCATGGTTTGTCATATAATATGTTTAAATTTAAGATATAACAATATTTAATTATATAGTGTCATAACCGTTCGTCCCACCAAGTGGAATACAATATTTGTTTGTATTGTTGCTACATTCGTCCGCAAAATCATTATTGTTTTCATATACGATTTTGGACATATACACGTAGGCGTTTTGAACCCATATTATTAGTACATTTTAAATCACTGTCAACACTAGATCTGACATAAATTAAAACCAATTCACTGGCATACACTGCGAAATATATATATTATATATATTCACTGCTAGTGTCGGATGAGATAAATCTTGTGTTCGGATCTAACAGTCGAAAGAAACCGGCAAATATAATTCATAATATTGGGTATTATCGCGATGATGGTCGAGTACAATAAATATAATATAACGATTGAATAGGTACCGTGAAAGCGAACTTTAGCGCGTCGTAAATTATACAAAAACGGTGGAAGGCGCACCCGCGGCCTTCAGTAATATTATTCTGCTCTACTACGACATGATGTGTAATGTAATGCATGATATTATAAAAAAGTACATGAAATTGATTATGTAAAAATTGTTAGCGCCCCGAAGTTAAACAAACGACATAACGAATTAATTTACAATAGATAAACAACAGTGTTACAATAGAGATTTGCCTTAACGTGAATTATTAATTATATTTTATACGGTTGAATTTTATTGGTTCATTTTTAAATGTTGGGATGAATAATATAATCGCGAAATGTTTTAAACAACAACAGCATTTATAATATACCAGATGAATAAACTATAAATTGTCGGTAATTTTTTCGAAATTGTAAAACAAACAATAGGTAATCATATGCAATTTACGTTACCAAGCAATTGAGCGGGAATAACTACCGTATGAACATATTAATATATTATATACTACGCCGATTTTATAGGATTAAGTATACAGTCATATTGTAACTGCATAATAATTTATATATTTTATTATTTACCTGACAGGACATATATATATAATATATAATATATATATATATATATATTAGCACAATAAATTATTTAAGTATTGGTAGGTATTAATTAGGGTGTTCCGTGCTTGTATAATAATACTTTAAAGCTTAAGTATTAATATCATTAGTTACATTAAAATAAATTGTCGTAAAAAACCAACATAATATGAGAAAAAAATGAATATTGACAATTGGCAACTCTTAATTTAATTTCCCCAGTCCTCTGGTAATATGTAATAAATGAATAATAATATATATCACTTGAAATTAGAGTTTAGTTAAGTTCCGAGTTTTAGCTAATATAAGATCTATTTAAAAAAAAAGCAACAGACCTATCAAAAACTAAAAATATTTTAGATTGTTGTTTGCAGTGTGCAATAGTGACACTAATCGTTGTCTGACGGAGACGCGCTGTCATTGAACAAGCTAACTATCGAATAAAGAATGGCTAGCGAAATTTTCAGGCCGATAGGCGAGGCAAAGGTAATAGCGACGGTTATAACGATGAAATAAAGGACGTAGACATCCTAGGAGACTTGGGTGAGTGGGCTAGATCAGGGGTGTAAACCATATGAAAAGCCGCACCTCGCCGACAATGATTTGCCGTGGTTATGGAAATATGTCAGGCTAGTTCTGCAGTATATATGTTGCACCCAACGCGATTAACGTTCACAGGTCCAATTTTCACCACCTATTTAGCCAAGGACATTAAACAGGACGACAACGATGCAAGGGTGTACAAGAAATAGACAAACGGTGCCTGGCGTTATATCACCCGCATACGATTTTTGGTCACAAGTTCGCGGGCGTTGAATGTCCGGTCGCCGACGCGATCGATCCTCTTGCTAGCGGCTTAGCTAGTCTACGACTGATTTGATCGCGTAGAGCGACGGACGACGATACGGCGACTAGTATATCGTGCGGGCGATGATTCTGCCTCGACAATACCGCAACGATGGCGACTCGTTACGACGGCGGTGGAGACTTTTGCAAGGGGTGTGTAAAGATAAAAGATAAGGAACACGGACGTCATGCTGTGCCGGACTCGTAACCTATGCAGACACGGTCGGCGGGACGTCTGCAAGACGAAATTTACGGAGAGTCGTATATATTACCAGGACCGCGCAGACAGTTGACTTTCTTTCTTCTTTCCGCAGCGATCTATAGATCTCTCCGCTGTCCTTCGTAAGAGTTGTCAGCTTCATCACCGTTGACGTGCATGCCATTGCACACTAGCCGCTTGCCGTCAATCATCGGACCCGCGGCCAAAACTGTATTGTCCTGTCTTATGTACTTTTATGTTGCTTTTTTAAAGTCCTAATTTTTCTACTATTTGTATAATAATTGAGCCACTCTTAAACAATATTTTTTATTTTTTCATCATTATAGAATTTAAAATGTTATGCAAGCCACGTTGAACCACAGAGTCGTGTTTTGTTTTTTGTTATTAAAAAAAAAAAAAAAAAATAATATGTAATAGTAATACAATCAAATATTGTTCACACAAAAAATTGGTTTTTTATTTCGTATTGTTGAGTAGATATATAAATCAATAATTATTATCGTTGTGTTTTATTATATTTTTGACATTGCCACTTGTTCGGAAAGGGACAAGACCAAGGTTACCGCGGTTAGGGTACACTTTGTGTAATGTAAATATTAAATACCTAGGTAGGTACACCTACCGATTTGACAAAAAGGCTTCGCATCAGCGCTACACTGTCACCGAAAACGAAAAGGCAGGTGCGCAAGTATGAAGTAAACAGATGCGCTGTCGCACTCTGGCGTATGTACTATGTAGTAACTATGTTATACGCGTCTCGTCGATTATTGTTGAATTATTCGTCAATCGCATACGTAATTTGTATACGTAAATATTATTGTCATTCTTTTTAGTTTATTATCGGTGTGCCCGCCTAATAATAGGACATTGGGTCATTGGGACATGCATAATAATATTTTTGTTTTTTGCCCTTCGACCGGGTCTAACACTCGCACAGTTTTCTCTTTTGTCGTTTAGTTCAACTATTTGCTACACGCCTGCCGCGTTATCACCATTAATATTATTTTGTGATATCGAGATATCCAGACATTCGACGCTTTCATATTATCATCGTAATTACATAGAACGCGCATCGGTAAACAGTTTACTTACGGTTACTACAATAAAACACGCCTATTGTTAATTGTCTTATAATTTATATTATAGGTATTTTTTTTTTTATAACAATTGTTACTATTACGTCGAACCTGTATACCCTGCAATAGTTATCTATAAAAGATAGTACACATACACAATCTACGAAACAAATATTACATTCTACCCACTGGAATCCAAAGGTAGGTAATAACAATACTAACCTAGTAATAATCTAGTTGTATTATATTATTTTAATTATGCGCATCGATTACTGCTATTGCGGTTAATATAAAATGTCGGTGGCGCGGGCTCGTCTGGTCTTACCGGCTCTATCGCGCAGACACTCTATGTGTTCAGCACAGTGCACATTCATAGTCCGGTCGTTGGTCAGACAACAACCACAAAATCGCCGACGAGTCTTGTAACTGAACTTTAAGGAGATGAGTATGTCTGCGATATACTGTCAACTACGCTTTTTGACCGTTGCCAGTACTGACCGACTAGAATGTGTCATTACCTACCTACCTACCTAATAACAATGATATTGATATAGAATGTCTTTTTCATTATTCTGTTCACTTTTGCTCTCACAATAATAATTTATGTTAATATATATTTATTTATGCAGCATACGGACCAGTGTTCTACACTCATCGCAGTGGTACGATGAGTGGTCAACATTTGGCAGATGGTACAGTCGACAACGGAAATGGTGGGAATCGTAGTCCAGTTGATACTAAATCGCCTACGTCCATCGAAAAACAACACAGTTACGAGCAAATAGATCATGCTCATTTTTTAGCCAATGATATTGGTACTCTTTATCTCAATGATAGGTGAGTAAACATTTTTATAATTTAGATACCTACCATTTCCAAGTCAAATGAATCAATCATAAAGAAATCAAGTATGTATTATGCTTGAATACAATGTACCAATACATTTTTTAATATATTCGGGGCATAATTGTATGTTTGATGAAAATATAATAATTTTGTAAATATTTAATTACCCATTTTTATTTTACTATTTTTCAAAAAAAAAAAGTAATAAAGAATGGAATTTTTAACTTAAATGAAATCCTCACATAATTTAAAGTTGATAAGTAGTAGCTAATGTTAATTAAATTTTACAATTTAGTTATATAATGTTTTCAATTACCTATGTTTATTAGATTAAAATAATTGTTCAACATTTTATAAATAACTAGTAAAATAGTTCATAAAATGATAGATATATTAAGAAATTAAAAATAATTTATGTTTAATTTTGTAGATTTTTAATTATGATTTTGGTTTATAGGTTTTCTGATGTTGTCTTGGTAGTAAATGGAGAACGTTTCCATGCTCATAGAGTGGTGTTAGCTTCAAGAAGTGATTACTTTAGGTAATATAATTTTAGAATTTTAAATAATACTTTTAATACATTTCACTATGAATTTATGAACTGAAAAAAAAAATTAGAATATTTTTTAAAAATTTTCAATATTTATTTTTAAATAGTTGTTGTTTACCTTGTATTTGTATCTCCACGTATAAGAAAAAACAATATTTATTCAAATTACATTTTTATACGCTAACTATAAAATTCAATAACAACATAAACATTTAATTTAAAAGTAATGAGTTTGAGAGTTTTTTGTATTTAAAGGAATTCTATTTAATGAATTTGTGTATTTAAACCCTCCAGTTATTGTAATTTGTGTATTTTATTTTTGTTATATTTTTAGATTAAAGTTTCATTTCCACAAGATTGATCATTTTTTCAATATTAAAATAATATTGTATAACACCACTAATTTAATATGTTATTAACATTTAATGTGATTCGTGGAGATTTTTTATTATTTTTTAATAATTATTATAATCAATCAAATTTTTTGAATTCTTGGATTCCTATTCAATTTTAAATACTTTGAACTCAATAATTTTTTTTGTATAACCATTTAATTAATAATGTTAAGATTTTATGAACGCTTTATTAAATTAGTTTCCTATTTCAGACATTTGCAGATTAAATAGATTTAATTAATAAATATTTTGCCATTAGAATTATTATTTTTATATTTTTAACAATGAGTTTTCATTTAAAAATATAATGCAGGTGTACTGGTAATAATAGACGTTTGATAATTATATACTTTTAAAAATAATGAGTTTTCTCGTTTATTTATAAAATTATGGTAGGGATTGCTTACAGTTGTTATAAATTTTATTAAATTTATAACTTGAATTTATAATTACTCCAATTTACTTTAAATTCTGATAAGATAAAGAAACTAACAATAATGGTTAATAGACTTACTAATATCAAATGTGCCTTGAAATTTTGACTTTTAGCCAAATGTTTATTGGATCTTTTTCAAATTGTTAATACTTAATC